AATCTCCTCAACACTGGAGGGAAAAAGTGAGAGGAAACAACAGACTAAATGGGAAAAGAAAATATCTTTGGACTTGTGTTTGTTTGTGTAAAAAGATCCAAGATGGCGCTGCACGAGTGGCAGCCTGTTACCACAGCTCTGTGTGTTTAGTGTATTCCTCATACTTTTTCTTGTTTTTTTCTATTCTAATCTACATCGATCCACGTGCAAACATGGATGTGCAACTAGTTTTTATTATATCTTGAGTTTTTTCTATTCTTCTCTATTCTCTATTTCAATTTTTTTTATTTAATGTGCTCTTTTCTTATTTGTTGTATCTGGGGCTGCTGTAGCAAGTTAATTTCCCCATTGTAGGATCAATAAAAAAAGAAACCAAAAAAGAAACCCCCAGATCTGACACACAGAAGGAAAACACCCTTCAGAAATAAGCTGCAGCTTCTCAACAGAAAAAGGAGCGACTGACCACAAAGATACAAGCTGAACTGCAATGGAAGCTCAGGTCCCTACCATCACATTGTCATTCACGTCCCTCAGGTGGTAGACGTCCATGGAGCCCTCGGCAGCACTGCGGTGGCTCCCCGGGGTGCTGGTAGAAGGCACTGGGCGCTCACCTGGCTGGCTGCCTGGTGGGAGCTCAAAGTAGGTGCTGTCTGGCTCCCTGTGAACACACAACGCCATCAATACAAGTTGATCAAAGAAAAATGAACATAGCACAAGCATGTCACATAACAAAGTACCTGATGTTCGTATAAGGTTAGGAAAAGCCTCAATGTTGTTGTTTAAATAAATATATGATATGAGATATATGAATATTTTGGGACTGCTTTTCTTATCACAAGGAAGTAAACTGTTGTTTCCCAGGTGTAGGAAAGCCATTGTATTCCTCCAGCTTTTTACCCAACATTAGATATCCTATTGGATAAATCCTGATGTATGTGTTTGTCTTTGATGCTGCGCTTTTGGTTATGTCTGCACACCAGAACCTCTAATAAATATTAAAACATTTTCAAAATGTTGTCCAGCATAAAAAAGTACTTTCCCTTCCCTCCCCTAGAGACAGTTGATATTAAAACAAAGATCACTCTGGATTAGATTTAAATTAGGAATAATCCTAATCCTAATTTGCTCATAAAATAATCTACTCTGCGATATATGTGTTTTGTGTTCACATTTTTAATAAAACCATTACATCATTTGGAAAATATGTTCATTGTAGGCAAAGTAAAACAATCGTCACAGGTGTTGTTGACACTCACAGGGAGCTCCACAGGTGCTCGAAGGTGCCTCCTTCTTCAGTAACAGTGGACTGGGACATCTTAGAGGATGGATAGTCTTGTGAGGGACAGATCACTCTGCAGAGCACACACACACACACACACACACACACACACAGAAACATAAAATCATTTACAATTAGCCTGATTGTGCGAAACAAGAATGAATAAAATAATTATAGTAAAACTTTGAACATGTCAAAAAGCTACAAGTGGAAACAAACTAGTTCATACATGATCATTTTACCGGTGTTCAAAAAGGAGAGGAAGCAGTTCAAAACACACACACACACACACACACACACACACACACACACACATTCATCCAGGTGTGATCACACCAATGTAGTCCCAGTGAGGTGGCACAGGGTGTCAGGGGGGCCGGGCGTGCCCAGACCTGCCTGCCTCATCACCGTCTCACTCCGAGGGGAAGCGTCCTTCCCCTTCTGCAAAGTCTGAGCATCACCTCCTCCGCCGCCTGTCTCAGAATAACACCGCCTGCACTGCAACCTTAAAACGTGTTCAGACTTTACGGAGCTGCACCGAAACAAATAGCAAGTGGAGCTACAGCGGGTAGCGTTGTGTTATTAATCCTCTGGTTGTCTGAACCCTGCGCACTTTGTAGAACTCCATCCAGTGACAGTAAACTCTTTTTTTGACAGACGATAAAGACATTAAAGTGAGAGTTCAGAAATGTACCTGATATTGGGACATCCGGGCCTCATTGCGATGGTTTCGAGTTTTAAAAAATGAATCCGTGTTTGTCAAAAGCGTAACGGAAGATAATCAAACGGACCGCAGGCCTGCCCCGTACAGCTGATAAAGGGTCTCCATTCAGTCTCCAGTTTGATGTGCCAATGATTACATTCAACACACAACCATGTGCATATTTGGTCCTAGCCTGCTAAAGTTTACTACAGTTGCGCCCCACAGCAGCGTCACATCTCCCTAGCAACCCCTGTGAAGGACTGAACAAGAAGAAGTGTGGCAAAGGTGCGTGGCTTTAAATGTGCACGCTGCAGCAAATCAAAATCACTGCCAACCCTTTTTTCCCCTCTGGAAATACTGACAGAAATGTGGCTGCCATGTAGATATGACTTTATTGTTTTTTTCTTTAGTGACCCTGTCAGTTTAAATGATCCCATCTGTACCGAAGCACAGCTTTATCTGCACAGGGAACACGTTTCTCTTCGGTCTGTACTCAATCGATCGAAGATATGAAGCTCAGTAAACATCTGATGTCATGACTGTTGAACAAAAGCTGATCTTGTGGTCACACATAGGCCTGATTCATGCCAAATGATCCAGTCACAATAAAACAAAACCCAAGGAGCATTGGAGCTCAGTGTTAAAGAGGCCTGCTGCACGGAGACGCCGCAGCAGCTGTGTGTGGCTGCAGGTTCCCGCTGTTGTCGAGGTGTCTGCCGCCGCAGAAAACGGCTCTCGTTACTCGGTGCCACCTTGTCTGATCCCAGAGCAGCTCGTGTGTTCGCGCAGGGGATCTGACGGGCAGAGGAAAGACAACGGGCTGGCCTCGGAGCACCGCACTTGGAGCAGCTTAATTGGGATTCCACCTGGACACGGACGAGTTTTTCACTTAGCTTGCAGCTCGGGGAGGGAACGTCTTCTTGTCTTACACTGACCAAAAATAACCTCAGCTAATATTGTGTCCTTCAAGTCTTACACGGATTATTTAGGCCTATTCTTTATGATCTATGATATAGACCATACATGCACATGGCTTTCAGAACTGTTGGTTAACCTTTTCTTGTGGTGGAGAAATATGAAGACAACTGAGAAAAATAAATAATATAAAAATAAATAAAAATCTATATAAAAAAAAAACTAACAACAACTAACAAATAAAAAAAAAACATTGTTCTTCTTAAAAAATGTTGAAGATAGATAAATAGATAGGGTTGCATTGACATCCAACATTTATCTCTATTTTAATATTCTATACAAATAAACCTGCACGCCTGTAAGTGTGGTTTCTGTAAAGTACGGCCTCTGCTGGTTCTCGCTGTCACACCATCGCTTCAAGGTTGACATTGTGCTTCTCTGATATTCACCTGTCTCTACTTTGTGTCTCCACTCCCGGGTTACGGCACCCATGACAACACACACACACACACACACACACACACACACACACACACACACACACACACACACTGCATTCCCAAGGGCCATTTTATGGAGAAAATACACAGTCCCAAATGAAAAGAAATTAATTTTAAAATTGTTTTAGATTCGATCCTCCACAGCCCCAAGTGAAATATTTCATAATGGATTCAGCTTGCCGTTGCTGCCATCACTGGGTGTCGTTCATTATCCCTGTTATAGCGCTGAAATGTATCGAAGACCAATGCATAATATAAAAACTGAAGTATTAGGCTGTTATGCGTTAATGTAAATAACTCAGCATTTTGTGATTGATAATAAGCACATGAATGATACTGAACTATATGTTAATATTCGTCTTATAAAGAGCTTTTCGATTATTTGTTTTCACAAATGTACTTTTAGCCTATAATTAAAAAAAAAAAAAACGAAATATGGATAGTAATATTTCATCATGTCTATCTATTATTTCTATGGCCCACAATTTATTTATATGATTTTTTATTATTGGGCCTTTTTATTTACGCTACTGTTAATAAATAACGCAGACCCTTAACAAACCATTACCCAAACCACCATCAGCTGCAAAATCAAATAAACAAAAACAACCAGAAAGATTTTAAACTCTAACCTTTCAGCTATTAGAGTCTTATCCATCCTTAGCCGGTTCTCAATAGTACTGCTAAGGCCTTTCTTGTAAACAAGCTCATTTTAAAGAACATTGTTTTAGATAATCAACACATTTTGCACACACGCCAAAAAAAAAACTCGTAGGACTGAGGAAAAAAACAACAACAAAACAAAAACATGACATTGGTTAAAAGTCTAAATCACAGTTAATCCTAAAGCCCGTTAAAATAAAGCAACATACCTGAAGGTTATTATTATTCCAATCCAAACACCCAAGATTTATGTTGCGCCGAGCACCTGCCTGTTTATTATCAAACATGCCAAGAGAGTGACCCTCCATGAAAAACAGCAACAACCAAAAACCTAAAAATCGACCGAGTTTACAGTATGATAACAGCGACTGGAGGTGATTGACTTTACGGAGAAACTAAATTAACTGCGAGGAAATCAGGAGGAAAACTGATTTGCATGCTGTTCAGGGAAGTGTGAGCTTTGCTGAGGGAGACCAAGGAGGAGGTGAAGCGTTTTTTGCGCTGGGTGAAGCAGGGAGGCGGTAGCGCGGTTTGGGCGCACATAAGCGGGAAACCTTTTCCTGCTCAGTAGATAATGCTGGTGGTTATAAAAAGTAATTCCATTTTCAGTAATGAGACTACCAGACACGTTTGTGTGAATGAAACATAACCTCCAGGCTATAAAACGACTAAGGATGAAAGACAAATATGATTAGGCTATAAAATATATAAAATACTAAAAATATATGCATGATAAAGTCCATTAGGATTATATAGCCTGTAATAGAAAAATACTGTTGCTTATACATCTATATTCATTTTATAGACAAGCACACATAAACGCGCGCACGTTCACATGCACGCAGATTTTTTTTTTGGAGAAAACACAATAATGAACTACATTTCCCAGAAGGCAAAACACAGCAGCACGATGCTGATTGGACAGCGCCGGTATGTCGTCATCTGCTCATACAAACAAACTAGCAACAGATTAGGTCGACAGCCCGAGCCCGAAGACAGTCATGCGAAGAAAAAAACTTTTCTAAACTGTTTGTGGGACTTTTGGCGTCTCTCATTTGTTGGACGAAAGCAACAGAGTTAGCATTAGTGGTAAGTTTTATCGTTGAGTGTCAAGATAGTGAAGGTTGCATGCTAAGTTGCTAGTAGCTTTGTATGCTAACGTTTGTTTTGAATGAGCCCAGTGACAACAAACGTTAACAGCTAACTTTACCGTTAGCATACAACGTTAGTCTTAGCTTGTCTCTACCGCCGTAGACCTCGTTTAAGAGACATTGATAGTGTTTTTTGTGGTTTTTAAGACGGTAAAATGACTATCGAAGTCGTGATTTAGACGGGGTTCATGTGTGGCTTTATTTTGCTTTAGCTAAGTTACTTCTTTGAATTACTAGCCAGACAGCTAGGTTAACGTAGCAACCTGTAGCTCAACTCTTTCTGCTCAGGGTGGATTTAAAATGGACTTGGTCCGGTTTTGTTTAGTATTTTCCCGTTAGATAGGAGAACTGTTCCTGTCCATGTAATGTGTGTGTGTAGATGTTTACAGTGTGAGGGTTGGAATTATTGGGCTTATGGCGCCATCACGTGTTAACCTTTGGAAACTACTCCAGTTCACTCGAGTAGTCAAAATGTCCATCTCTTTTCCATTTAAAGATTTGAAGAAACTCAGTTAGGGAATTTGTTTTTTTAATTGTCATGATAAGTCCTGTAACATTCTCATCTGTAGGAACAGCTGTGGTTATAAGATGAATTTCTCTGAAGTCTTCAAGCAATCCAACCAACTTTGTAAAGTCTCCCCAGATGGGAAATATTTGGTAAGTGGTTGAGATATTTATTGTAAGATTTGCAAATGTGAAGTCATGTAGTACTTCTAGCTCTGATCTAATTCCCATGGCTATATTGATGTTATGTTATGTTCTATGGATATGGATAAAAAAAAAAGTGAAGTGTGTTATAAGTCTTGATCTTTCTGGCTTGTCTCTTTGGCTATACTCCTCAGGCTACTTGTGTACAGTACAGGCTGGTGGTACGAGATGTGAGCACCCTGCAGATCCTGCAGCTCTACACCTGCTTGGACCAGATATCCCACATGGACTGGGCTTCTGACTCTCTGTTTATCCTCTGTGCTATGTACAAGAGAGGACTGGTGCAGGTAGGCTGTGAGAAGAGGATAGTACTGTGAGCGTGTGACTCTGATCTATCGTAAATGCTGCTGATCAGTCCTATACTTGATAGGTTGTTGTCAATCTTACTCTGCTAGATTAATACTGTTTATGGTGATATGATCAGTTCGTTATGAAGGTATCTCTTTAGGCTCCAGTGGCTTGTGGTATGCCTATGCCAGCCATAGTTATCTAATAAATGATTAAGATATTAATCTAAAACTGTCGCAGCCTTAAAAAAGCTTTATATTGTTCAAGAAAAACACTAGATTTCTATTGCTTATTAGTGCACTCAAAAATTGACAACAAAAGTAAAATGATATGGTTTTTTGACATATTTGAATAGTTCTTTGTCATATAATTAATATGATGAAGTAATATTTTTGAGACAATTAAGATGTGTTGTGGTTATGAAATAACAATCATCAACTGGAGAGATGAACTGCTGTCCTCATTTTATTGCCTTATTCAACTGCTAAAAGTTGTTCATAATGCCAATAATTCACCACATGATGTGTGAACATAACCTAGAAATTGTTCAATCAAATGATTTCCTCTTCAAAACAAAGATAGTGTGTCTTTACTGGTAATCTTTTGAGTTTGAATAAATTTGTAAATTTCAGTTAAATTTTGTGCAGTTGCTGTTTTACGTCACACAATTGTATTTCTGAAAAGTACCAATTTTGCTGAACAGTACATTACAGCACTGTAGATAATTTGTTTTGTATTTGCTATTCTTTTAATGAATCGCAGTCTTCAGTGTATGCACTAGTTTAATAGACATGATGTACTGTAAAGTAGTGGAAAATATGGATACTACTTTACATTCTTCTTCTACATTCTTGTATAATGTCAGTTTCATGTGCATCACAAGTGGCTTACCTTTGAAGGGGTATCCAGTGCCAGTCTTTCATGGTTTCTGATGCTCAAGTGTTTCTTTACTGTTTGAAATCAAGTTTAGTGAGGGATGTCATCAGTGATGGCTGATTGCAGTCCTTCTGTCACTCTGCGTCTTTCTCTTCAGGTGTGGTCTCTCGAACAGCCAGACTGGCACTGTAAGATTGATGAGGGCTCAATAGGACTACTCTCCTCGCGCTGGAGTCCAGACGGACGTCACGTTCTCAACACTACTGAGTTCCATGTAAGTGTGAAGTTGGTGCGTGCGTGGGAGCATGCATTCAGGCGCACGGAAGTGTGTTTATGCATATGCTTGTCTGGTTTCAACTGTTGCTGGCCCGCAAGGAAGGGGGACCTGAAAATAGACAGACACCAGAGCCTTTCTTGACCGCCCCTACACCCCCCCACCCGATGCATGTATTCAGACTGATTTCATAGCACCCTCCTGTTAGCGTCCTGTCATACATGGGTCTCAAGTACCTCTGGAACATGGGTGCAATGTGTATGTGCCCTTTCAATGTAGGTCTGGTATTTTCTTTGGCAGCAAGTCCAACTATGTTCTGTCACTCAAGTAATAATCGTAAAAAAGGGCGAAAAAGCCCCTTCCTAAACCACTAAAGTTGATATGAAGAGATAATAAAATAACTTTTTAAATATTACAGCAGTCAATCTAAAGTAAAGTCAGTAAAAGTAGAAAGTATTTTTTAAGAAGCGATTTATTCAGCCAGCCAGATTGTTGAACAAATCCACTGACATTGAATAAAATGGTCTTGTTTTAGTCTTACTTTTAGTGAAAACTGCATTTGTCTCAATGATTTGATTTATTCCTTTAAACAGAAGTTTTGATGAAATTTCCTTTCTCAGTATTAGGCAGCAGTAATATAAGGGGCAAATTGAACAAGGTTATGCAGTGGGAAATTTGGAGTTGAACTTGACCTGAGCTGGTGGTGTTTTTCGGAATAGGAACAATGTACATAAATGAAACGATTAATTTTTTAGGCTGATTGTATTTCTGTGCTGCAATTTACCATATACCAATATATCTGTGATAAGCTATGATCGGCCAGTGCATCGGCATAGGCATGGATGGAAACATCGGGGTTGTATTAATTGTGACTTTAAGACTTATATAGTACACAGAGAACATGAAATACCCAGAATCAAATCTTGCCACCAGCTGCAAGAGTATATTGTGTTTAGCAGTACTGCATGTTGCAATTGGATTCTTTTCTCCAGTTTAATGGAGCCATCCCTCAATAGTGGGTGTGTCTAGTGGAAATTCTTTCATACCCTAGTATTGACCCTCTACATAACAAGGGTACATAATACTTATCACCTGAAAGATTGAATACTTGAAATACTTGAAATCCCTATCATATAAAAGGTAATGTATATTGTAATAAAATAACTATTGATTGCTCCTGCCAAAATAGGCTCATGAGTAAAAATAATCAAGAGATGTTGAATGTTGTTTATAAAGGTCTGCAGAATGAAAGGCAGACTAATAAAGATGCTGTTAGTACCATTATATGCCTCTTGACTCCTGGTTTGAATTCACTCCGTAGAAAGCACATGTTGCAAGGGGTGACAAGCTACAGCAGCTACCCTCAGGCCATGTGGAATATGACAGGGGGGCCGTGTCTGTCATACTGAAGCTGACTCCAGGAATCCTTTGACAGGTGTTGTAGCCCAATACACAACTGTGTCTGGTCTGGAGAAGGGTGCAGGGAGTGCAAGTGTCTGTGGCATGTCTGCTTTGTGTCTGTCTGCATCTTAAAAAAAGAGAGAAATAGAAAAGAATGGAGGCTCCTTCCTTGAGGAGCTATGGCGTCTGCACAGAACAGTACAGTACAGATCAGATATTAGAACATCTGAGTCATCTTATGTTTGAGGGAAGTTTTTAATGTGTCTGTGTCAAATGACTTGTGATTGCAACCATCACACCTCCTCAACCCCTTTGAATGGCTTACTTGTCATTACGTTTCTTCTGAGATGTTTTGGTGAAACTGAAAAATAATTGCCAACTATTCTGATAATCGATCAGTTGTTTTAAAGTAATTTTTCCAGCATAGATGTCCGACATTTATTTGTTCCAGCTTCTCAATTGTGAGCATTTGCTTTTTTCCTTTGACCTATGTCATAGTAAAGGGGAGTTTTGTTTTAGCACTGTTGGCTGGCTAATGCAAGCAGTTTGATGACTCTGGGTTTTAGAAAATAATTTTCAGGAAAGCAATTTATATAAAAAATAAAAAGCAGATTGATCGATAATGAATGATAATCATTAGTTGCAGCCCTATGCCAGTCTTCCATAAAACACCTCTTTAAATGTTTTGCTGGGCTTGTTTTTCCTACCTTTTGAGGAAGCTGTTAATTTTATTTAGCATAGAATTGAAAGTTTTTTGAGATAGGTAATCCTTTGCTATCTCCGGAAAATGACCTGAGCTTCTTTTTAACCTAACAAAAATTCAGTTTAAACAACAAGCTTTTCATCGTAGTCCACATCATAACATCCTCTCACCTGGGGTGTACATTCAAAAACGTGTTACTCACTGCCCTTATCACCTGGCTAAATATGAAGAAGTCAGTACTGCTTCGTGTTACTAAGCATCCTTTTGTAGTTGAAGTTACAAAACTAATTTAACAGAGGCAAAGTAGGTACTGGCTTCCACATTGCCAAGGGGCCCACTGAACTTGCCTTCACCCCAGCCCAAGATTTCATTAAGGCTGTGCCAGACGGGTGTTCGTGTCAGGCTTGAATGTCAGCCTCACTCATAAACAGCCTGCTATATTAACTTGTTTAGGGACAGCTGCCTCTGGTGTGGATCGTGCCTCTGTGTGTGTGTGTTTGTGTGTGTTTGTGTTTGTCTATGTGTCAGTAATTCTGCTTAGCTGGCTGTGTGTATGTGTGGCAGGTTTTTTTTGTAGCTGTTGCAGGGGGTTTTCTTTCCCAAACAGAATATTTTCAGATCTTTCTGATTTGCAGGTACACAATTTATTAGCTCACAACTGACATTGTAACAGTAGGAGACTGGCTAAGCATATCGCCCTCTAGTGTTGAAACAAGGGTTTAAGGGGCAGCCCTAGACGGACTACTACGAAATATTGTCAGCTGTTTCTTAAAGGCTTCAAGGCAGGACTTCAAGAGGCAGACATGTTAAAACAAAAGCAGCTGTTTATATCAGATGGCGCCATGTCACTGATTTAATAGAAAAGTTGCATTGCTGAAACCTAGCCTATGTATTGTGAGACTTCACGCGAGTCATCTCCTATTTGAATTCTGATCGTTTATCTTAGGACCTCACAAAATGCCACTCACACATCCATGTTAATCCACCTTTACCAGCTGAGGGGTGATAAACTGAGAGTGGAAAAACTCCAGCCAAGGACACCATTGAGCTTGACTTCTCTAATGGTTTTTACATTGTTGGGATCAGATTAGCAATAACATTCTTGGCCAGTACTGCTGGAGCCTTGCTAACGCGTAGCATTGTTGGCAACAACGCTACCGGACTAAACTGCAAACGTAGGCAGCTGCTGCTATGCAACATGGGACAATAGCTCACCCATACCTATGTGTGGGCTGCGAGAGGCTCCAGTTCCTTGGTAGAATCATGAGGCTGTAACAGGAGAAATAGGCTATATTGGTTTGAGATGGCTTCCTATGTGGAATGCCTACAGTCTAATCCTCTGCTGACAGATAGGCCTATAAGGCATCAAATACACTTGCCCATTCTCTCACACTCGCCGAGGCTCGCAACAAGAATGGCTGATGGATAGGTTTGTATTCCAGGTGGCTGTCAGTAACTTTGGTCTAGAACTGATGGTAGTTATCATGTTGCCCACAGGCTGCCCTGTTGGGAATGTTCCCTAATTCTGTGGTTTTCTTGTTATGAATACTTGCTAATAGACACTAAATGGATGTGATAGTAGAAATTAGCCATAGTTGTCCCATTTGGCAGTGTCTTAAGAAGATTGGTGTGTCATAACATGTCAGAGGAAGTTTATTTGTACAGCTTTTAATTATTGTCACACTGCAGTCTCGAAGGGCATATTATGAAACAATCATTTGTAGCCCCTCCACCCCTTTCCACCATCACAACCACCCATTTGGTAGAAATACACATACAGTACATACAACCCTAATTCTATTTTTTCTTTATATCTTGTATTTTATTTTGCTATTTAATGTGTATTTATTTTCTCTTATCTGCTGTGTTCTATCTGGAGCTGCTGTAACATGTGAATTTCCCCAGTGTGGGATCAATAAAGTCTATCTTAAATCTTAGGGAACCGTAAGAACCATCTACTAATGAGGAATCACTACATGTAGTGACTGATCAAAACAATATCAAAATCAAAATATGTACTTGTCTGTAATTACAACCCTTACTGTTGATCAGTTGCAGTTATGCCAACCCTGGCACAGGCCTGAATTTTTCCCTCTCTGATGGATAAACAGCAGCTGTTGTAGTGAAGTTTTGCCTATTCACACCACCCTCAAGCCCTAGCCCCAATCCCCAAGCTGCTGCTCACCTTTGGTGAGGATACTTCATCTAAAGTGTAGCTTTACAAACTAAGGATCTTATTGCATACCACCCCACATGGAAAAGCATTTCCCACCTATTTTCCTCGTCTACCCTTCCTCCACCCAGTTTAAAGTTACACTGACTTTCGGGTCGTGATCTCCCCACATCCCCTATGTGGTGGGTTCAAGGCATCTAAGATGTGTAAGTGTGTTTGTGTTTGAGCAATGTTGATATTGGTTGCCTTGGCACCATGTCTGAGGGGATGTCCAGGAAGTGTGCAGGGAGGTGATATTACAGAGTCTACACAGCTGGATGTCTTGGCCAAACAGGAGGGTCGACACTTCAGCCCAGTTAGGAGACAGACTTGCCCCAGTTCAAATGTCTGTCTGGACTCTATGATGAAAGCCTTGACACTTCAGTAGTTTTAACTCTGCACATTCTCAAATGCAAAATACATCATTCAGATTTAGGTTTACATTTTTATTGCCAAAATTATTTCTTTAAGAATAATTTATTAGTGTGTGTGTGTGTGTGTGTGTGTGTGCGCGCAGACCTTGGTTTTGAGGTTAACATTGTGGCTAAAATTAATTCACGTTTTTGTTCCACCTGTAATTTGACATTAATGTTTCCAGCGACTTTACTTTTCTCAATGAGAAAAGTAATGTATTTAAGGCTCTTCGCTAGTGTACATAACCAGTTTAGTTTAGCATTTTCACATCTTAAACATTCAAAGCATGATCAGACAGGACTGCATGCCTGTAAAGGGGAGGGTTAGATGTTCAGCACTTTAAGTTATATTTTAATTTTATATTTTAACTTTATTCTATTTCTCTACTGTGTTGTGTACTATTGTGTCTTATTATTGTACTGTTGTGTAAAGGGAGTTGGGCAAAGTAAGATTTTCATTGTATGGTATAAACCACTGTCTTTCTTACTGTGCATATGACAATAAACCTCTTGAATCTTGAAGAGGGCCATGCATTTAAACCCTTAATGTTGCAGTGTTGTGTTGGCATGCCTTTGCTATTTGGATTGTTAGTAATGAGTACTTTCGTAGGTTGTGTTTAAGAGAAGAGTGAACCAAACAAGAAATATTTTGTTTGTTTTTCCTGTGCAGTCAAGAAGGTGCTGTCTGCTGTCTGTCTACCATCTGCCTGAATCTATGTGAGTGCAGCATGGTACATATAAATAGTCTGCTTGGAACAATACTGTGTACAAAAGAAGTATAATTTCTACACCATTAAAAAATAGATTTATTCCTTCTACCTAATTAAAAATTCCAGAAACTATGAATATGTAAATTTGGTTTGTTTCTAAAGTTTTCCTGCTGGGCACAATATCTCCTACTCCACTGTAAAGTCCATTCTTAGTGTTTGTGCACTGTTAGCTTCAAGTTTCTACATCACACTTGTTTAAGTTGCATAATGGACCCGTTATTGGTAACAGTGGGATTTCAGAAACAACTTTCTCTGTGAACACCTTAACACTCAGACAACTGTACAGTAGTGCAGACAATGGATTATCTAACAGCGTCTCAAGGACTGTCATGTGCTCCATCTTTCTTGAAAGGCAAGATGCCACATGTCAAACTGGTCCTTGGGTCAAAATATGTTATACTGTTGGCTGAGTGCCACACGCTTTTGTTGGCATCAGTCTTGTTGAAGTGAGACTGGTGGGTATTTGAGTGAGTGCTGTAAAAACTGGGCATTAACACATGTGGTCTCTTTGTTATGCCGACTTGTGGCCAGATAGTTATTCTTTGGCGCTGCTTCTCATATGGGGGACTGCACACAACCTGCTGGCCATGCAACTTGCTGTTAATTTGTCACACTTGTAGCAAACATGTCTAACATTACAGCTTGGCTACTAAATGGACGGGTACTATTTTCCTGCTATGTGTCAGATGTTGTTTTGGATCTGTTAATTTAATACATTTTCAAGTCCTAATTTAATTGGTATAATCTCTTTCAATCCCTGTCAGTGACTGCCGCCCTATAAACATATGCATTCATTCTCTGTGGAAATACACTGATAGACAACACTCCACACACTAGGGCCCGTCTGAGCCATCCATCTACTGATTGCATTAGGATTCCATGTCAGTGTGTCATATCCTTCACAGAGATTTGTCATAGACCTCTTCAAAGACATAAGGCACTCTGTCCACAGCCATTAAAGTGCACGATAGACCATGCTAGCCTGGACTATAGTCTGGATCTGCCCAGCTGACGGACAAGTCGTTGGGTGTAGAGGAGCACTTAGAGGCCTGGTTGATTGAGCTCTTACTAGCTGTTGACACCCAGTCGCCATATGCAGCACATAGATCACATACTCAGTTAAGATCTTCCTACAGATTTTGAATTAATCTCATATAGACTAAAATCTAGTAGAGAGGGCATCTGATCCAAGTGGGCATTTTATATTTAACCTTTATTTAACCAGGTGACCTGGCCAAGAATGAAGCAAAGTTGAAGTTTACATAGAAAATATTCTAAAACAGTACATTACAAATAATACATGATAAGAGCTCATTTCTACAGCCACAGGGGTTAAATGAGCACAGACATCAATTAACAAAACTAATTATGCATTCTAGCAAGAAATTTAAGTTCTTGAAGTTAAGCTTTTGTTAAAAGCAGCTGCAGTTATCTCAAAGTGGCTTATAAAACCGCCGTTTAAAAAAATCTGACTAATGTATCAGAATGGTCGATATTATTTAACTTTTTATTTAGCTCATCACAGATTTAGCCACAATTGCATATATCTGCTGTTAAGTTGCAGAAAAAAATGTTTGAGGTAATTGAGAAACAGTGTCACCATTAGACAGTTCATCCACTATAGAGCACTGAAATGGTGATTTTTAACTATAAAATGACCCGCTCAGTACATATCTTGGTCACATTATTTAATATCCACATTTAAAGAATACATTTCAACATGTTTATTTGTGTGTTCATGTTAAAAAATGAATTTTGCCTGATGTATTTTTTCAATATTATATTCAATATGTGTATATATCAGCCTAAAAAAATCCAGTACTTTTCAGGCACTAACTTGGATATGTTTATGCCCTTTGTGCTGCCTTGCAATATGGTGTGCTTGTCATACTTTCACTTGGAGATAATCCAGTTTGTTTTTTTCCTTTTTCCTCTGGCGACAGCTGAGAATCACCGTCTGGTCCCTGTGCACCAAAGCTGTCTCTTACATCAAGTATCCCAAAGCATGTCAGAAGGGTCAGTATGAGAATAAAATTGTTTTATGTATTTTCTTGTGGCTTATGAGTATATATGTATTACCAGTAGTACCTGAGGACAGGGCCAGTGGTCTGAGTGCCTCAGCATGCCCACAAATCACATGCTGTTCTTTACCTTGTGGTGCGACCCTGGGTATGTGGCCAAACTATGGTCCTCTTTGCTGACAGCTGTGCCCCTCTTCAGTAAATGGGGCATGCTCCTCATAACAGGCCTGTCAGCAGCTCGGGGAAAAATGATTGTCTATGACTCTGACTCCCCATTTTCCACATGCAATACTATGCCCTTCTGCAACCCATGTATCCTCCCAGCCATCATATAAATAATATGGCCATGATAGTTACATACCACCGACCTGATGCTGCCAAAATGTCACGTTATTACTTTGGATGAAATACACAGGGAGCCATGAAGTTACATATTCAGTTATCAAAATAGAAAATCGAATAGCCAACACATAAAGATTGTTTTGATCAAAGTCATTCAGTCCCGAAGAATTAACTTTTGAGTGTTGACTGAAGTGTCCAAAAACGGAATATTAAAAGGGTTGTGATTGCTTGATCCATGCTTTTTAAGCACTACACTGCCTTGTAAGAATTTAACGTAACTAATGCATGTCTTTTTAGCTTCATCTTTTTCATAACAAACTATAATTTTCACTTCAAAACGTCTGTTAAAATGTCACTGTAATTTTAAGTTTTTTTAATCATACTTGTGATTTTAGGCCATAAAATCCAGCCGGTAGTTAAAATTCTAGCTTTCACCCACAGGTATAGATTTCAGCAGAGATGGCTGCTATATGGCTTTGGCTGAACGCCGTGACTGCAAAGACTATGTTAGTGTGTTCGTGTGTGATGACTGGCATTTACTCAGGGTAAGTAGGACATTAGAATTTTAGTTGACTTTTATGACCATTACACCCGGGACACACTGCCTGCATGAGCAGCGTGTGTGCGTTGCGGAATCTCTTGCTTTTTATTTTAGTGCCCATGTTAACAGGTTAGAGCAGGCATGTAGCCTGTCGGAGCGGCAGTGACAATGGACAGTTAAAAATGATGTGTTTAATGTGTCATATCAACGTCATATCGGCAACATTTAAACCTTTCACCACAGTTTCAATGTCTGTAGAATGTCAGACATGAACAAATATATAAATACCATTATTTTAACTGAACATCTCCTGTATCCTGTGTAATCTTATTCAGATTAAAAACCAGTATTTCTTTGGACAGAATCCAGCCATTTGTTAACTAGGCTTGTATTTGATTGTATTTCTCAATGGCAAACTAAATGTAGAAAGAGAGTGCAGCTGAAACGCTCCTTGTGTGGCAGACAGCAAGGTAGCAATCACAGGCCTGGGCTCTATTATTCATTTGACATTTAAGTTAGCTAAGTAAGTAATTAAGTAAGTAAGGAACAGTGGAAGATACCTAAATTTAGGGCACCAAAAAGGTATACAGGGTCAGCATGTGACAGTAAGAATAGAATTTAGTAAAACATCTCAAACATGACTTGCTACACAGAATGATTTACAACATGATGTAAATGCCTTCCTGCCACCCTTCTCTTCAAATATTAATTCTTTAGGATTTTCATTGACCAAGATTTCATCATTTGAGATGCCATGCAGATGTAGTCATAGACAAATTGAGACTAACAAAAGACACATTTATCAACATTTGTTATTCTTTTTCTTAAGGAAGGCCATGCATTTCTTTCTTCTATAAATGTATATTATTCATTTCTTTGACCTAATTTAACTTAACTCTGTCACAGCATTTTGAGACTGAGACACAGGACCTGGCAGGGTTGGAGTGGTCTCCCAATGGCTGTGTGCTGGCAGTATGGGATAGCTGTCTGGAGGTGAGTCTTTTGCCTAATATACTGAAGGTACAAAAAGAGAATGTGATAGATTAACTTCCTTGATAGCTTTATTGAGCAGGAACTTACTCTTTCTGCTCCAGTGGATTGCCTTTTAAGATGTTAAAGTACAGAGGTGGCTGTTCCACACTGAAGCAGCTCACTAAGAAGGGTCAGTTGAGTGCTGAATAATCCAGTGTGGGAGTGCAATCAAAGGGTGTCATTAAAGTAGACGACCACATATTCAGCAGTTTTACTTTTAAGGCCTGTTACGTGCATTATGTTTTGACATTATATCCTATATTAGAAACGAGTACTGTATACAAATAAAGTGTCTTTGCCTAAGCATAGATACAAGATACGACAAGAAACTCAAGAGACAGTAAACACACATACTGCCATAATGCAAGATACTCTAAAGCTCCCACATGCAGGGCTACAAATGTTGATAGAGACCTATGATAGTGATGTGAGTGAAAGTCATGGCATCTGAGCAAAACAAATGTTGATGTTTAGTGGGGATATAAACAGGATGAATGGATAATACTTAATGTGTGTGTATCATTTCCACAGTACAAGGTGTTGCTGTACTCTCTGGACGGCCGGTTGCTGTCAACCTACAGTGCCTATGAGTGGTCGCTGGGTATCAAGTCTGTGACGTGGTGCCCCAGCAGCCAGTTCCTGGCCATTGGCAGCTACGATGAAAAAGTATGGATAAACTCTTAGTCTTATAGTGAGCTATAGGATGACACAGCACAATAAGACACAGTACAAGTAATCATTGTAAAGCTACATGTCTTAAAAGAGTTCTGCACCGATTTGGCATTGCACTCCTACACCACTTACTCTTTTAATTTTAAAAGAGAGGATAAAAATTGAGCACACACGTTCTTTAAACACATTCTTCTTCCTTGTCAAAACCTGGCACCCACATTACACACAATGCAACTCGAACACTGCCAGTTCAATCGCAGATTCGGGTGTGTTATGCTAGTAGCAGATAATGTAGCCTTGAGCCATGAGCCAAAAGCAGAGTTAAAGAGCGAGCTAGAGAGATCTAATAACTTCTAATCTAATAATAACCGGTAAACAAACTTTGATGTTTAAAATTTAAGTTCCCTTTTAAGAACTTAATTAATTTCTGCTTATAAAGAAAGGTATAAACTTAAGTGTCAGACATGTTTATCTGGATGTAATATGTTGTGTGCATTCGTTAATATCGGTACAAAGTAAACGACTTTACTACTCTCACATCAGGTGCGCATCCTCAATCATATCACATGGAAGAAAGTCACACAGTTTGAGCACCCAGCAACCATCAACAACACAAAAGCTGTGAGTATTTACCAGCCTTCATGATGAGCCTCAAAGACATTGCAGTTCAATTATTTACTTTGTCTGATTGTTGGGTATCTAGGTTGTGTATAAGGAAGTGGAGCGAAGGCCAGCTGTTGGCAGTGATGACCTTTCGCTACACAACATTACAATTGGCACCACCCTCTTCAACACCCAGAGCAAATGTATGTCAGATTTTGCTTTGAAAATATTTAAAAAGCAGTATTTGACTAAAACTACTGAGGTGAAGCAAGAAACTTTGTCTAATCACAAACTCATTTGCAGACGAGATCTGCCCACTGCCAGTCCAACTTCCTGTGGTCAAACCGGACCCAGACCGAGCCAACCCCAAGATCGGAGTCTCTACTTTGGCATTCAGCTCAGACAGTCGCTATCTAGCCACCAAAAACGGTAACCCTTCTCACAGCTGTTGACTTCTACCTTCAGTGTGGATCCAAGACAGCTGTATTATATGTAAATAACAGTTTCCACAGTTTTGGTCATAACCATGAACTTAAACGCTGACTTCATTACAAACCTAGTGTTGAGAGTGGCTGTGAATGTTTATCAGTGTTATCTGACCGTAGACAACATGGCCAGTGTTGTCTGGGTGTGGGACATGCAGAAGATGAGCCTGGAGGCCGTGCTTGAACAGACCTCGGCTGTGCGTTGCTTTCAGTGGGATCCCCAACGCCCCCGGCTGGCGCTGTGTACAGGCAACACCAAACTCTATCTCTGGTCTCCAGCAGGCTGCGTCTCCGTCCAAGTCCCCACTGAAGGTAACATGTTCAGCCACAAAGAGTCAATAATGTCAAGCAGTTTATTTTATTTATTTAGATTAGTTTATTTAAGCTTCACAAGGCAACTTTAGCATGTTGGCAGCAAGAGGCCACTGTTTAAGATAAACAGAACAAACCTGGAACTCAGGTTTTATGACATTGTCTTAATCCCATTAAAATGCTTGCAAGGTCAAGGATTTTTTTTGTTTGTTTTTAAAATGGTTCCTTCCTGTGCAAAGGGAAGATATCCCACCAGTATTTCAGTTTTTACTTATGCGATGCTCATCTGTGTTGCTGCAATGTATTTTGATTTAGCCTGAAAACAATAGAAATATTAAATTGAAAAAGTCATTGCATGATGTCAGGATCAATAAATTAACAAAGTTGAATGTATATTCTTAATAGGGGTGTAAGAAAATATCAATAAATATATTGCGATATTTTGTTTTGTGATATTGTATTGATTCTCAAAAATACTGTATTGATTTTTCAGTTTAAACCCCCAACTGTTAGATGGTGTTGCTGTAAACATAAACTGATATGATGTTGAATGTTACAGATACTGTGAAGTGCAGTATTTCAAAATCGCAATATATCACCATATATTGTATCATAACCCCTGTGTCATGATGCGTATCGCCAGATTCTTGCCAATACACAGCCTTAACTCTTTCGATGCACAATGATTTTTATGCTTTTATTTTGTGCATGTTTTGTGTCATCACACTTGCCCCTTTCTCTGTTCTGCCAGGTGGTTTTCAGGTCCAGTCATTAAACTGGCACTGCAGTGGAGACTCTCTGATCCTCCTTGGAAAGGAGCAACTGTGTTTGTGCTACATGGACACTGACCAGGAAGACAAGTAAAGCACATAAAAACATAGTTGTCAAGAAAAGTTTAGGCTTATTTAGACACAAAGGAATGTGTTCCGGTGATGACCAAAAGACTGGTGGGAAGACTCAAAATATCAACTTTCATATGTTGAAATTGTTCACCAGGTTTTTCAGGACCTCAGTGCAGGTTGCTGGGATGTTCCTTTTCTAGTGAAGTTGAAAACATGGAGAACCTGACAACATTCCCTCTGAGAGACGTAGAATGAATAAATATCACTTTTTAAATAACCAAATGCGTACTGAAGCACTAGTTTCAAACACTGTGACAAGACATGTCTACAAAGTTTTATAGCTATCACTGTACTTTTAGTAAGTATTTTGTATGTTATACCTTGAAATTGTGTCATTGTTTTTGAATACATTTTGTCATAAATAAAATTTGTGCATCTTAATCTTTCAATTGTTAATCAAGAGAGTTTGTTTCTCAGCTCTGTGTAACTTACAGACAACAGTGTGTTTCAGTGAAAACCAGTAGCTGAGTTACAGTTAATGAATGTGTGGATTACTGACACTGAACGAGTCCGGACCGAGTCTGTTCCGGTCTGAGGAGATCCGGATACGCGAGGACAACAAACTGGAATCGGAATCTGTGGATGTTCGTCTGTAGCTAGCTGGTACACCTTGAAACACAACCTCATTTGGCCATCCATGAAACCTACTTAATCTCCCACTTTTCTATAGCAACACATACTTCCTACAGGCACTGCACTAGTTTGTTACAAATAACAAGCGACCTGTCGTCTTCAGAAACTTTGTAAAAGTCCCACACAATCGACGCCGTGTTGTCTGTTTTCAAACATAAGCACGCTGTGCTGCATTCACGGTGTAACGTAAATTCCCTGTTCCCACATTTGGTAGTCGTTTTTTCAGCCTTGTTAAGTTCGTGTTTCTATTGTTTATGTGTAACGTGGAAAAATACTGTGGATATCAATTCAAGTCAGCAACTACCAAAATTATGACCGAGTTAACAAGTTTTTTTCCGACAAGAATTGAAGAGAATTTTTGCCTCAAATTCAGAAATACAGTAAGAATTACATATTCAACTAATTACTTTGATTGATTTTACATGGTCACTGTGCGTGCTGAAATGGAAGAGCAACAGACATTTTGGTTTAGAGAGTACATTTGCAGCTTACTGTCCTTGGTGCCACAAAACTCCTGACCGTTTGACACAAAGCTTTAAAATGTGTGGTAATGAATCCACTCGGTGGAACAAAGACATGACACAGGTTTTTCTATGTGTATTTTTAAAGCATTGTATAGTGTGCAGCTCTTAATGACATGAGTGGCATTATCTTTAATCCGGAATTTCTGCATTGTTACTGGTAGTTGTTATGACCCAACGGAAAAAGCCAGCAAGAATTCAAACAACAAACAAGTAGTACTAAATATATTAGGACTGTATTACATGGCCACAATGTATCATCTTTAGGCATAATGGCCCATTTATAAAAGCAAACTGAACTGTAACTTAATCACTTTGTTGCAGTCTTTGACAGTACGAACATCATGTAAATGCACTTAACAATGACCGGAGCCGAGACCCCAACAAGAACACAGAGGCATTATTATTCTCCATCGTGGCTTCTGCTCTACAAATATCAAGAACAAAAATAAGCCTTCACATTGTTTGTAATAATGAGTTCATTTCTCTTAAAATCCCTAAATAAAATACTTCAGAACTAGCAATGAAATATTCATTTTCTAGAAGCATTTATGGGTTAACCGCAACAAAATAACAGCATAAATAAAATCTAATTATTATTTACAAATCCATTTAGGATATTCCTTTAAAAAACATCTGTCATGCAAACTCAACGTGCAGGCAACAACATGCACAAGTTACGACCAGAAAAGGGCATTTTGGACACAATTATTCATTGGCATTGCTCAGCATGAAAATATGGCCTGGTTACCTTTGGTAGCACAATTATTAAAATGAAAATCACTTAAATCCTGTTTACAAGATACATACAGTCTATGGTTAATGAACTGCAGAGTTCAATGCAGCGGAGTGCAAATGTGTGCCTAAATCAAATGCAAGTTGCAGGGTCTTTTAAGGCAACTTACAAACATAAAGACATGTTCACAATTTCATGTTGCATAAAACTTTTGAACATAGAACATTTTAGCTATATTTGATAATGCAACTCAGTTTCATGGAGGCTGAAAAGTGTCTTCTAGCTGTTTTTTTTTCACAAGTAACACAGCTGAGCCCAGAGCTTTTCAGTATATCCTGGAACGGTTTCCCTTTTAGTTACTTTTATAACAATAATCATGTGACATGACCTTTAAACTCAATCCATCAGCTGCTATTCAGTTCCATGAAGCTACCCTATGGCCCTGTGATCTGAATTACACAATCCTTCATTTCAGACCATTTAAATGTTTAAAATATGGAACATTTTTGGCTGATGTCACTCCTCTGGGAAACAAAGCACATCTTTAATGCTGAAATAACAACCCTGATGTTTGCATTCCTCAACCAAAGATGTAAACATCACAATAGTTTTTACAGTTTGTCCATCAGTGGTTAAACAAGAAGCGTTAGATTATAAAAAGCTCAATTAAGAATAAGTACCGAAGTGTCTTTTCTCTCCAACTTATATCACATGGGCATACACTCCCGAGGACCCACGTGGACAGATCTGTGAATCGCTCTTGGACGAAAAAAGGACAGGGGGCACAAAAACAAATGAGTAAACAGTCCATGCAATGCAGCGCATCATTTGCCTACAGTAGGCTGACCACTTGTCTGTAACACCAACTTCAAGAGGTGTGGCCTTCTCATGGGCTCAACTTACACACACAGATTGGTTGCGCATTACACTGTAGTGGAGCGACAGTTTCCCTCAGACAGTGCAGTGTTAACACAGACACATGGGTTGAACTCTGTTGTAATTTGGAGAAACTGTGGATCTTAGAAGCCGATCTTGCCACGGGTCATGGAGTAGCCCAGCTTGGCCTCATTGTTGATGAAGGACATGATGCCCAGATAGGTCTCGATAAGCAGGGGTCTCTCCAGGATCAGGACGCCGTTAGCTCGACCGGGGATGGGATGCTCCTTATGAGCTTTCTTTACTGCCTGCACCAGCTGGGTCCTGAAGTTGTCCAACTTGGCAAGTAAAAGAAAAATAACATGACATGTAATGGCTAATGACTAAGAAAATGCAGTTATATCCCCAGAAAATGGCCCCAGGCACTTTTGTCTTGCCGATGAGAAATAAACATCTTTGAAAGTAACTGTTCATATACAAAGTCTGGTCAGCACTGTTTGACTTTATAAGAATGACTGGCTTTCTCTCGGGTTGAATTTCATTTCTACGGCAGCAATAAGTCTTTTGTTTTCAGTTGAACTGTGACTGCTAGAGCTGTTTTTGCCTCCTACTGTGCATAAATGAACTGCTGTACCAGTGGTCACCATTGTTTGTCTAGTGAAATAAGCAGAAAGCCAATACAAAAAAAAGTTAAATTACCTTTAAAATCCATTAGATTGATGACTCAAAATGCAGTTTTAGCCTAATTTAGTTAAAGGGATTATACCTGGCAGAGAGAGGCCACCTTCTCATCAGCGTGGGCCATGGGATGCTCTGCGAAGGTGGCGTAGGGCATGTCTGTGGACCAGGGGTTCCAGCGGTTTATGAATGAGGCACGAGGACGTTTGTCCCACTGGACACGAATCCCGTAGCCTTCTCTCCTGTAAGAGACCAGAGCAGTATCAGGATCAGACAGCTACATCTGCCAGCAGTACACCAAAGCACTGCCGCCAACCTGAGCCACGTTTAATGGGCTTGCTTAGAGAGAAAGCCCGTTTTTGAATAATACTACCAACAATACAGAACTTAAACTCTTTAAGGGAACAATTATAACTAATCAACACCTAAGACAGCTGCACTGCTGCAGTATGTTAATGATTACTCATGCCACATGCATGGCAGCAGTAGAGTCCTGTTCTTAACGCTGGCATTAATATACTTTATTCATTTGCAGACTAAAATGTGTCGGCGTACTTGTTTAGGGATTTGGGTGGGAACTCAAACTCGCCCACTGAGATGGTGTCTACAGCGTTGAGAGAGATCCTGACAACCTGCTGACACAGCAGGTTGATGAAGTCGTACTTGCACACCAGCAGTGACCTGCACACACAACCAGTATGTCAAAACGCGTGTCAACAGTGTCAAGGAATGCTGTGTGTTTCCTTTAACATATGCGTAAAACAAAATATACTTTTTGACTCACCTATCCGTTATAAGCACAAGCCTCTCCCTCTCATTGTTCCAGTGGTCAACTCTGTAGAAATAGACAAACATGCCAGCTAAGTTTTGACAGTCATAAGCCAAAAACCTGGCCTTAAACAGTGGTGTGGTTAAGTAAAATGTAAATGTATAACGCTACAAGATGAGCAGGAAATATCAAATCTTTAACAAACATTTAGGGAGCAGCCTTAATACATCTCCAGCTGATGTATCTGTAAATACATATACACTTGTTTGTACAATAATCCCTGCAGTGCACACGGCAGCTCATCCAGACAGTTGCCTCCTGTAATGTAACAGTCACATGCTGCTGGGATACTCACTCAGCCAGCAGCCAGACGCTGAACACCTCTCCATCCTCAGAAGGGAGTGCCACAGTCCGGATGTCGCTCACCGCCTGCTCGATGGTACCTGGCTGAGATCAGCATCACACAACCGTCAATCATCAGCATCATCTCAGAGAGGCCAGCGTCCCTCTCCTCCCTGTAATGTGCTGCTGTAGCTCTGACAATGCGCTGCAATGCACTGAGTGTATTCACCGCCAGTACGTTTTAAAAGCGATGTGTGTCGATGAGGGTTAATCTGAGAGATACATACGCATATATTCTAATTAACAACAAGCCGGCCTCGGTGCCGATTAACGCAAGCAGTTGTCTATTACGGAGCAACTTACCCTGAACACGAAATAGTCCTTCACTTTCGCTTGGATTGTGGGGTTATGTACATGAAAGGGCGTCAGCGTTTGTAACGGGGGGCAGCAGGCCACGGAGGCTCTGTGTCCGAGGCTCCGTCCGGCCTCCGGCGGCGTGAAGGCTACCTCGACCCCCTCTTCGGTTTCCGCGGGGTGGAGAATCGCAGCGCCCGCACTCTCCTGCTCCACCGTGTCGTTCAGCTGGAGCATGGTGCCACAAACGCTGTTCGGGGAGCTTCCCGACTATATGCGCCAAGATTTAGATGAGAAAATGTCCTTTGGAGGATGCAGACTCACCCATTGCGCACGAATAATGTTTTGATTGTGAGGGCTACAAGGAAGTAGTGCCCCCTTCGCTTCACTTCCCCCTGTCATTTCCTTTCTCTTAAAGAGACATGTTTTTAACCTAGCTAATTACATAAACAAGTGTTTAGATTGGATGAGATTGGATTGGATTTCATATTTTTATCAGTGCTATAATGACTAAATAATCTGAAGTTGGGCTCACACTTTAAGAATGATTATCCAATAATAGTTGGCATGTAGTATAAATTCTAGTATTTGGCTGGTAGATAATGTCCTTGAATACCCATGTCAATTAAATTTAATTGGTTGTAGTGGTTGACAGAAATGTTGAGAGTCTGTTATTCTACACTTTATACCACTGATGCTCAGCAGTGACACATACACTTACAAAACATTAAAAAGATTTCCCTCGTTCACGTTTGCAACATGGCCTTTGGTTTGACCACATTCTCCAGTCATTTGATATTGATGACACTTCCTGATGTGTCAGTGTCAAACAGGGGCGGCCCCTGTGGACAAAAGTTGTAGTGTCTTAAGACCTGGTGGCAACCATTAGTTCATAAAAATGTTCAAACTTATGATGATTTTCTCCTTTTTTACTATTATTGATATTTAAATGCAAAAACAACAAATGTCATTCATTTAGCATTTAGTATGATGTCATTATATAGACAGACTTTCTCCCAGCTCTCTATTGTATTGTGGTATATCCTGAATTCTGTACTGTCCTCGCAAGGAGTTGCCCTCATTCAAAGCTAGACAGTTGGCTAACAATCACACACAAGCTGTAACTTTTCCAAAAGTCTGCTTGGTATGTATTTAATGAGGATTCACATATTTGTTAAACAGCAACAAAAGCACAAATGGGCAACAGAAATCAGAATATAACCAGCACACAGGAGCAGGAGGAGACGCAGCCACACTGTCTTTTCTACCATGCTTCATTAACACTGTGGGAAACTCCCTGCTCCAACACTACTGCTGGTGAATGACCAGGAGGGGGCTTTCCAGTCCACAAAATGCTATTGAGCAGTTTTACATGCACTTAAACAGAGGGCAGTTTTTTTGTTGTTTTGTTTGTTTTATTCTTGTTAAATATGATGTGAAGTTATTGGGAATTCTCTAACTTTAACAGTACCTGCAGATAAAAGTCTAATAATTTTTTCTTCTCTATGAAAACTGGATGATGCATACATATAAAGTATTATTTTCCTGTTGTCTATCACTTAAATAAAAGCATAAACAAATTACTGCCATATTATATGTGGATTTTTCATCAACAATGGTCATTCATAACATGGAAATGAGACATGTTTGAATGATCAGAAGTATTTTTATGGTTGAACACCAGTTGCATTTTGGCCACTGGAAGGGCACCACAGAGGGTAGTGCGTCACATTTTTGGGCCACCTCAGAGGGCACTTTTCCCATGGCAAAAAGGGGGGGCGATTTTCAACTGAGATTTTAAATGTTTGGAAATGCTAGATTCTCTGATACCCAGTGCTAAATAATTCCACCTCCCGAACTCCTGGAAAGGAGTTTTGACCAAACTTTGTGAACCAAAATTGAACATAACAGTCCCCCAGAGGGATCTTGTCAACTTTGAGCCTGTTACTATCTGTTTAAGAGACAGTGGTGCATAGTGAATTGTGTATGATGTTATTTAATAAACTCCATTAGTAGGTTCCATTAGTCAAAAAAAGATTTTTTAAAAACTATATCACAATGGTGTATTGGGGTTTCTATGCCATTATTTTTAGTGCTTTCTTATACAGATGATGCATCAATGTACAAATACTTGTCTGAGACCAGGTTGTAAGTGTGTCAGTATCATTGTGTACATGTACAGTTTGGCTGCATAAGTACTCATTTGATTTGAAATGGTTATACTTAATTGTTTTTTGTTTTTTTAGAATTCTAGGATTTGCTTTAAAAGGTTTACGCTTCTAACCGTAACATTAAAATTTTAAATAGTTGTCGCAGGTGAGATTACACAAGCTCAATCAACACAGTCCATTTTCAGCAAAAGGTTGTTTATTGTCAAACTGTGAATTTATGAGTTAGCACTTGTCTCTGGTTATGGGGGAGACTTGTTCATGCCACTTAAGAAAACTGAGGCTGTGATGAAGATCACATAAACTGCACAAATGACTGCTGCTGACTGCCAGTGGTTGTTTTTGTAACATTGTGTTGTTGCTCTTCAAAAGCCAGACTTTATTAGTGTGATGGATTTATTGAGGAAGCAAAGAAAGAAAGTCCTTCATTACTCACCACTAACTTGGGTTTCTGGTAAGTCTTATCTTATCTCAGCCAATTCACAACCTGTGGGAGGTCACTACATCTGACTATGTCATTAATCTTTGAACCTGTATGGATGATTTCTTTGTTTTTGTTTACTACTCCTTCAAATGTTTTTCATGTTAAGCTGTTCAATATTTACACTCTTAAACTTCAGTGAGGTTGACAATTATATCAATTTAATAATGTCTATATAAGCACTTGCAGTGTTGCAGTGGTGATTTTAAAAATAATTAAAATGTGTTTGCAGCTTTTATGTTTGTGTGCTGTGTTTTCTTTGTTGTCTTTCAGATGGCATGCACAAAGTAATAAGTGTTATCAAATGGATCTTCAGCACGTGTCTCTAATTGACTTTTCTGGTAATTATTGATCAGCAAAGACACTATTTAAGGCTGGGATTAACACAGACACTAAAGTTGAACTGCACAGACTACCACTTTGAGAATGGAGATTACAATGTGTTTTCCACTGTTGCTGCTGATCTGCTCTTTCTGCACCGCTCAGCTTCAAACAGAGTCTGACAATGAAATTATTCCACTGGAAAAGCAAACTGAACCCCAGAGAAGAGAACCAACAAATGCCTCTAACCACCAACAGACCTGTCCACAAGACTTCCATGCTCTGCTGAGAGAGATGAGTGCTTCGCTGGCTGAACAGAGGGTGGAGATGAGGCACTTACAGAGAGAGAATGAAGGTACAGTAGTATGTAAGGTAGTGAGGGAAGTAATATCAATATGAACCACTGCTTGGTTACAGCAGGTTTTTGTATAATATTGTGACAATGAACTTTTTTTGCAGTATAGCTTACAGGTTATGATGAGATGAAGATACTTCTGTGAAACCTTTTGTTTCGTTCTTCTCAATATATACACAGTGTATCAGGTTAACAACAGCAACAACACTTTCTCAGTCTAAAAAAACTCTTCTATGATTTTTAATTCTTTCTTTCACTTTTCATCTGCAGCAAGTAACTGAGGTCACTGTTACAGAGAAAATGTCCCACAATATTATTTCCCATTAACTCTCTTATAATGTCATACAACTTGATCCACAAAAAAGGATAGAAACAAAGCAGTGCTAGTTTGGCATGTTAGCATACTGTATGCTAATTAGCACTAATATGTACCAAGGTTGAGACTTTGCTGCAGTGGTTCAAGTCTGATCTGTGCCCCATTGGTGCATGTCATTCCCTCTCTCTAGCTCGTGTGGCAAATAACAATAAGTATTGATAAGGCAAAGAGTATTTCCTATTATTTAATTGTATAGGGGCAATTAAATTGATAGTGGATTAAACTAAAATAGAGGCATTTATTTCTTTATTGAAGCACAAGCAGCGAAACTGAAAGAACTGGAGTTACAGAAAGCTGAGATGGAGAGACAGAAGACTGAGGTGGACAAGCTAAAGCAACAACTTCAAGGTACTGTGTGGAGATCATCATGGCTTTGATAATGAAAATCACTTATACTAGTATATCATAAGCTCATCTTTTTTTTCTAACATATCTAATGTCCACTAACCACAGTAAACCTTGATAAGACAGTGATGATGAAATACTTGTAACTATCAAACATCATTTTCATCAGAGACAAATATGTCATGATGTCACCTTTTTCCAGCACAAACAGCAGAGCTGATCACCATTACTAAAGAGAGATAGAGAAGGTAAGACTCAAAACTAAACTAGAAATCAATAATTTGAAGAGTTTCATTCCAAAAGATATGTGCATAATTTAAACAAATGGTGCAGAGCACAACAATATAAACTAATTTGGTCACATTACTGTATCTACATTAAGTTTAGAACAATAACATTGCTCTCTCTCTCTCTCTCTCTCTCTCTCTCTCTCTCTCTCTCTCTCTCTCTCTCTCTCTGTCAGTCAATCAGGTGGCTTTCTCAGCCTCTCTGTTGGCTTCAGGCTCAGGAACTATCGTACCATTTAACACACACACTCCTCTGGTCTTCAGACATGTCATCTCAAACATTGGAAATGCCTACAATCCAAACACAGGTACTCAAATTCACAACTTTAAAAAATTAATTTGACTTTTTGTCCATGTTGACTTTAACTTGGTTGACAGATGTTGCAACAAACAATTCCCCATTTACATTCATTGACAAAAAATATCCCGCAGGTTTTTTCATTGCACCAGTGAGAGGAGCCTACCACTTTGAGTTCTACTTTGGTGCACATGGACATGCTTCATACCCTTCATGTGCTGTGTTGGTCAAAAATTGAGAGCATGTTTTCATTGCATATCAGCATCAGCCATCCTATTTTGGAAGTTCTTCTAATGGCATCACACTGCTACTAGAGGTCGGAGATGTTGTGTTTATGCGTCTGTGGGTTAAGTCTAGGATCTATGATGATGAATCTAAAATTAGCACCTTCAGCGGTCATCTGCTTTTCACTATGTGAGTAGTAAGTTAGCTATATGATAGCCAGTTTCCTTTGTATAGCGCCAAATCATAACAGAAGTTATCTAAGGACACTTGTAAGGAAGCTGGAAGCTTTCAGAGCTGGCAGTATGGGACCTAAAGCACACTCCAAAGCACAAAAGATGGATGTTGCTGGTGACAGCCCAAAGAAGGGTCCTGCAGGAGGGGTGCCCATGATCATATATTGTAGGGAGAAGCACCAGCAGCCTGCAGACATGGACTATTACTCCATTATTACTATTACTGGTATGTTGCAGCAATGTATTCACTTCCAAAATGACCTATGTGTGTGGGACAAAGAAACAATGACACAGGACAAAAGGTAGCGCCAAATGCAGGTTTAAATGAATAACAAGAGTAAGTGTTAAGTGTTCATGTAAATATAGCTAATTTTAAATTGTAAATATGTGTTTTAAAGTTATTGTGGGAGTGTTCAGTTGCCTTCACTGTTGAATGGGGTTGGTAGAGATTGCAGGTATAGATATCAGGTGGGTAAAGTGTGTTACTGTGTTAGAAAAAGGGGGGAGGGTTAGGTGTCTCCCCAGTGGCTAGAATGTGCTGTACCTGTTGTTGTCAGTCAGCCTGCTACCTCTGTGATGAGAACTGTAAATGTTTTGTAACCTGTTTATGGACACTAGTAAAAATCAGAGCTCTAAACGAAAAACCTGCTTGACTGATGCCGCTTATTTTCCCATCACATTATACACCTCAATGCTGCTGGGTTTCATCCTGTTTGTAAGGGTTTACCACCATCACAAGCCATACGACACTTTTCAAATAGAGCAGGTCTATCCCATACTACTTTTTTAAAATAGTATGGGATTAGTAAGGGAGTAGACCTTACAACTCCCAATACAATACAATACTTCCCCCTCAACTTCCACACGTAAGACAAGGTAGTCTGTGTGTAAAATGAAAGGCAAGACCAGGGCAAACAAAGTCCATTCATCCATTTAATCAAATATATAAAGGAATAACATCAAATATATGGTACTGACAACAATGAATGTTCAAGTTTTTGTATTTCATAAAAATTGTAAATTTATTATCACAACCTTTATCAATAAATGGCAACTCAACCAGGTCAAGCATTTTTTACATAGTAAAAAAACCCATTATTTTAATGTGGACAAAAGGGGTAGTGTTTCTAAGAGAAATCCTACCGAGTCTGACCTGATGGCAGTCACTTACTATATAGAAATAGGCAATCTTCTCGCTGACAGTCTTGTTTGCTTAAGTAGGTCAAATAGAGGCATCAGTATTTAATTTAGACTCATTCATAACCAGTAAAACATACCTTGTTGTAGATTTAACAACCAAGAATGTTCATTAGTGTTTTATTTCAAAGAAGTTGATCATTTATTATCTTAGCATCATTAAAGGACAATTCAACAGTTTGGTTGAGGCATTATCAATCATACTTATGAAATTATATTAAATATCATATATATAATGGAATGAAACGAACAATTAAAGATTAAAGGTTTATCTTATTTTTTAGTCATTTTTAATTACATTAACCACAAAACAAACCATTTGGTAGACCATAATTGTTGATCTTGAAGGTCGTAAAACTGAAATATTATCAGTTAAATAAACAAGAAATACATATGGAGCCAAAGTGTGAGACACCTTTTTCCTTCTCTCAAGAGCATTATATTTCCTATAAATCAAGTTACATGTTTCTGTTCAGACAGACCTCCAAACCTATAATATGTTGCCAAAATATGCTAATTTTGAAAATGAAGAGAGTGTCTTAATGTCTGCAGTTGTTAATTTCATGTAAGGAGGCAAACTGAAAAGGACCTACCAAAAACACAACATCTAGAGATGTTTTATTAGCATAACATACCTAAACTGAGTGGTAGAGATGGCTCAATCAGTTAAGTCCAACACATTTTTCAATAAGATGTAGTAACTAAAAATGTGCTTTACCAAACAGTTGAACAGACCTAAAACACTGATAATTAAATTTTGAAACAAAAACAAATGTGCTAATATCCAGAAAAAGTACTACAATAATTGATTGTAATTTATTCAAATGTAATATAAAATATATACTCAAAACCTTTGAAAACAAGTCATAATCACAATCATTATATGTAAGTACTGACACACTACTAGTGTGTGCACAACTATCATATAGCCGAAGAAAAAAGACTCATTCCCTCTCACATGGTGAAAAGCAGATGGCCACTGAAGGTGCTATAGTGATTTTCATCATCATAAATCCAAGAGTTAGCCCACAGACGCATAAACACAACATCTCCGACCTCTAGAAGCAGCGTGGTGCCATGAGCAGAGCTCCCAAAGTTAGACGGCCGATGATCATATGCAACACAAATAACCTCTCCGTTCTTGATCAATGCAGCAGCTGAAGGATGTGAAGCATGTCCATATCCAGCTACGTAGATCTCAAAGTGGTAGGCTCCTCTCACTGTTGCAATGAAAAAACCTGTGGGACATTTGTTGTCAGTGAATGTAAATGGGGAATCGCTTGGTGCAACATCTGTCAACCAAGTTAAAGTCAACATAGACAAAAAGTCAAATTCATTGTTTAAAGTTGTGAATTTGAGTACCTGTGTTTGGATTGTAGGCATTTCCAATGTTTGAGACGACATGTCTGAAGACCAGAGGAGTTTGTGTGTTAAATGGTCCGATAGTTCCTGAGCCTGAAGCCAACAGAGAGGCTGAGAAAGCCACCTGTTTGACTGAGAGAGAGAGAGAGAGAGAGAGAGAGAGAGAGAGAGAGAGAGAGAGAAAGAAAGAGAAAGAGAAAGAGAGAGAGAGAGAAAGAAAGAAAGAAAGAAAGAGAGAGAGAGAGCAATGTTATTGTTCTAATCTTACTGTAAATACAGCAATGTGACCAAACTGTTCTGTATTTTTGTATACTAGTTTAGGTAAGTGTTTCAATTATGAACTTGTAAATCTGTGATTACAAACAGTACATTATTAATATAGATAAGCTCATGATAAACTATTATAAATCACTTTCATTAGCAGTTGATCTCCACACAGTACCTTGAAGTTGTTTCTTTAACTTCTCAAGCTCAATCTTCCGACTCTGCACCTCAATCTTCTGCCTCTGCACCTCAGTCTTCTGCCTCTCCAGCTCAGCTTTCTGTAACTCCAGTTCTTTCAGTTTAGCCGTTTGTGCTTAAAAAGAAAAATAAATGTTAGTTTTTATTTAACTGCACCATCAATTTGTAACATTGATCTCAGTTTTGTTTTGTTGAGAAATTAAAGAGCTGAGACAGTTTTTTAGATAGAGAAAGTGTTGTTGCTGATATACACTATATGTATGTTAAGAAGAATGCTACACAAAGTTTTTATCTTCCATTCATCATTTGCTGCAAAATTGTTAATTGTCGCAACATACAAAAACCTGCTAAGCAGTGGTTAATATTCCTATTACTTCCCTCACTACCTTACATAATACTGTACCTTCATTCTCTCTCTGTAAGTGCCTCATCTCCACCCTCTGTTCAGCCAGGGAAGCACTCATCTCTCTCAGCAGAGCATGGAAGTCTTGTGGACAGGTCTGTTGGTGGTTAGAGGCATTTGTTGGTTCTCTTCTCTGGGGTTCAGTTTGCTTTTCCAGTGGAATAATTTCATTGTCAGACTCTGTTTGAAGCTGAGCGGTGCAGAAAGAGCAGATCAGCAGCAACAGTGGAAAACACACTGTAATCTCCATTCTCAAAGTGGTAGTCTGTGCAGTTCAACTTTAGTGTCTGTGTTAATCCCAGCCTTAAATAGTGTCTTTGCTGATCAGTAATTACCAGAAATGTTTATATGAAATATGTGCTGGAGATCCATTTTATACTTTGTGCATGCCATTTGGAAAACAACAAAGAAAACACAGCACACAAACATAAATTATCTTTTAGGTGTATTTTAATATCTACTCTCAGTGTTGTGTATGTCTATTTGATAACATTTATTACTTTGTGCATGCCATCTGGAAGATAACAAAGAAAACACAGTACACAAACATAAATTATCTTTTAGCTCATAATCCTTGAATAGGAAGTTTTCTAAAATTCAAAAAGTGTATTTTAATATCTACTCTCAGTGTTGTGCAGGTCTGTGAAATCTCATTGTGTAACTGGAGGAGATGAAAACACATTTTAAGGACTTAAAATGCAGATTATGTGTTTAAAGTCACCTCATGGCTGCAAACACTGACAGGTTCAGAAAGGCTGTAGATCAATATAAGTGTCATCCTCACTGAGGTTTAAGAGTGTAAACATTGAATAACTTGATATAAAAAAAAGTCACTGAAGACAAAAATAACTACCCTTACATGTTCAAACATTAATGACATAGTCAGATAGAGTGACCTACAGGTTGTTAATTGGCTGAGATAAGACTAAGCAGAAATCCAAGTTAGATGAGTAATATAGAACATTTTCTCTTTGCTTCCTCAATAAATCAGCCTGGTTTTAAAATCTGGCTTTTGAAGAGCAACAACACGTTACAAAAACATCCGCTGGCAGACGAGTGCTGAGTCATAAAGTCACAATATGAGAAAGTATCGAGCTTCTCAACTGAAAATGGATCAGAGTGACTGTGTTGATTGAGCTCGTAATCACATCAACATCTGTATCAACAGCTGTTGAGAACTGAATGAGAATGAACAGACAGAAAGAAATATAGTGATCAAAACACAACTACTGTGTGTGTTAAATAATATGGTCACTATAACCACAGTGAGTTTAAATTACATTAGAATTACCCACCATTCTTAAGAAAAAGTAATTTATGTTTGAGTAGTGGATCTAACTGTTGTTCAACCATACAAATACTTTTGGTTAATCTTACATTTCACACTCCCAAACTGATGTGACACACATGTTCGGTTTTCTGCTAACAGGAAGATGATATTTCACTGTGAAACAAAATGTATCATGTGTTTAAAGAAAAGTCCACAGACAGAACTGCAATAATTGTTTATGACTTTATTTGAATGTTAGAGTGTCTGTCCCCCGACCACCTAAATTATTTAAAGAAATAAAAACAAGAGGAGTTCAACATAAAAACCTAATAAAAATTAAAACTAACTCCTCAGTAGCACAAAATAAAAGAATGAAATGTGGGCTGTTAAATATCAGGTCTCTGTCCTCTAAAGCTGTTTTAGTTAATTAATTAATATCAGATTATGATATTGATTTACTTTGCCTTACTGAGACCTGGTTGTCCCACGAGGAGTATGTTAGCCTAAATGAATCCACCCCCCCAGTCATATTAATACTCACATTTCTCGAGGCACCGGCCGAGGAGGTGGAGTTGCAGCCATATATGATTCGAGCGTTTTAATGGACCCTAAACCTAAACTAAATTATAATTCATTTGAAAGCCTTGTTCTTAGTCTTTCTCACCCTAACTGGAAAGCACTGCAGCCAGTTCTATTTGTTATAGTGTACCGCGCTCCTGGATCGTACTCTGATTTTATATCTGAATTCTCAGAGTTTTTATCAAGTTAAGTCCTTAAATCAGATAAAGTAATTATTGTAGGTGATTTTAATATTCATGTGGATGTTAACAATGACAGCCTTAGTAACGCATTTATATCATTAATAGACTCAATTGGCTTCTGTCAGAGTGTAAAGAAACATTGTTTTAATCACACTCTTGACCTTGTTCTATTGCATTGATATTGAACATTTAATAGTCGTCCCACATAATCCTTTCCTATCTGACCATTATTTAATAACTTTTGAATTCATACTATTAGATTATAAGCCATTAGGCAAAACTTCCTACAGCAGATGTCTATCTGACAGTGCTATAGCTAAATTTAAGGAGGAGATTCCTTCAGTGTTTAATTCAAGGCCATGTCTGAATTTAACAGAATCCTATAACAACTTTAGTCCCTCAGAAAATTATCAATATAATCTTGTCGATAGTGCTGCAGGCTCACTACGATCAACATTAGATTCTATCGCCCCTATAAAAAGGAAATTATTAAAACATAGGAGACTAGCACCGTGGTACAACCACCAAACCTGCCAGTTAAAGCAAATAGCTAGGAAATCTGAAAGGAAATGGCGCTCTTCCAAATTATCAGAATATCGCTCAATTTGGCAAGATAATCTTAAAATTCATAGAAAGGCCCTCCGTAATGCCAGAGGAGCCTATTACTCAGCACTAATAAAAGAAAATACGAATAACCCTAGGTTCCTCTTCAGCACTGTAGCCAGGCTGACAGAGAGTCACAACTCTATTGAGCCACATATCCCCATAACCTTAAGGAGCAATGACTTCATTGGCACTTCTTTACTGGATATGATTAATCTTTCTTTATTATCAGGATATGTACCACAGTCCTTTAAAGTAGCTGTAATTAAACCCCTTCTTAAAAAGCCCACTCTTGACCCAGGGGTTTTAGCCAACTATAGACCAATCTCTAACCTCCCCTTCCTTTCCAAGATTCTGGAGAAAGTAGTCGCCAAAGAGTTGTGTGACTTTCTACATAACAATAGTTTATTTGAGGATTTTCAGTCAGGATTTAGAGTTCATCATAGCACAGAGACAGCTCTGGTTAAAGTTAATAATGACCTTCTGATTGCTTCTGACTATGGACTTGTCTCTGTACTTGTATTATTAGATCTCAGTGCTGCATTTCACACCATTGACCATGATATCCTTTTACAGAGACTTGAGCATCAAATTGGCATAAAAGGAACCGCACTAAGCTGGTTTAAGTCATATTTATCAGATCGTTGGCAGTTTGTACATGTTAATGATGAATCTTCAATAAATACTACAGTTGGTCATGGAGTTCCACAAGGTTCTGTACTTGGACCAATACTATTTACTTTATATATGCTCCCTTTAGGCAACATTATTAGGAATCACTCCATTAACTTTCACTGTTATGCAGTTGATACGCAGTTATATATATCAATCAAGCCCGATGAAATTAATCAATTATCTAAATTACAAACATGTCTTAAGGACATAAAATCCTGGATGAGCTGCAATTTTCTGATGTTAAACTCAGAAAAAAAAACAAAATTCTTGTTCTTGGCCCCAAAAACCTTAGAGACTCACTGTCTAAAGATATAGTTACTCTAGATGGCATTACCTTGGACTCTAGCACCACTGTTAGGAATCTTGGAGTTATCTGTGATCAGGATTTGACATTGAACTCCCACATAAAGCAAACCTCCCGGACTGCCTTCTTTCATTTACGTAATATTACAAAAATTAGACACATCCTATCACAGACAGATGCAGAAAAACGAATCCATGCATTTTTTACTTCAAGGCTGGATTACTGCAACTCTTTATTATCAGGTTGCCCCAATAAGTCCATTAAAACGCTCCAATTAATTCAGAACGCTGCAGCACGAGTACTGACAGGAACTAGAAAAAGAGATCACATCTCTCCTGTACTAGCTTCTCTGCACTGGCTGCCTGTAAAATGTAGAATAGAATTTAAAATCCTCCTCCTCACCTACAAAGCTCTTCGTGGTCAGGCCCCTACATATCTTAAAGAGCTCATAGTACCCTATTACCCCACTAGAACACTATGTTCTCTGAATGCTGAGCTACTTGTGGTTCCTATAGTCTCTAAAAGTAGAACAGGAGCCAGAGCCTTCAGTTACCAAGCTCCTCTCCTGCGGAATCAGCTTCCAGTTGTGGTTCTGGAGGCAGACACCCTCACCACATTCAAGAGTAGGCTTAAGACATTCCTCTTTGATAAAGCTTATAGTTAGACTGGATCAAGTGAGTCCTGAACCATCCCTTAGTTATGCTGCTATAGGCCTAGACTATAGGGGGATTTCCCATGGTGCACTGAGCTCCTCTCTTCCTCTCTCTTTCTGCACTCATTCATGTTCCATTAATGCAATGTTACTAACTTCACTTCTTCCCTGGAGTTCTTGTGCTTTCTCGTCTCGCAGTTTCTTATCGATCCTGGTGGGGCTCCTGCCATGGTCCTGCTAGATTTCCATTGCCAATACTGTTGATACTGCGTGTCTGTCTGTCTGTCTGTCTCTCTCTCTGTCTCTCTCTCTCTCTCTCACCCCAACTGGTCGAGACAGACGACCACCCACGAAGGATCTGTCCTAGGTTTCTGCCTTTTAACAGGCAGTTTTTCCTTGCCCTTGTCGCCAAGTGCTTGCTCATGGTGGTACTGTTGGGTCTCTGTAGATAATGTTCTGACGAGTTCGGTCTAGACCTGGGGCCTCATGTACTAACGTTGCGTACGCGTAAAATTCGTGCATACGCCATTTTTCACATTCACGTTCGGATGTACTAAAAGTGAAATGAACGTGAGAACGTGCGGTCCTCCACGGCAGCTTCATTGCTGGCGTACGTATATTTTTTGCTTATGTCAGTTGTCAGTTGGCAACACTCACAGGCAATGCATTGAAATTGCATAGCCGAAATTAATAATTGCTCTAGGGACAGTTGCACTGCATGTGAAAGTCATTATTATTTACAATCAATCAAGCAATTACACAATTTTAAATCATTGGCAGATTATTTGTGTTAAGGGGTTATTTACTGCAGCACACAGTCCTCTACTGCGTATGGAGGAAGTAGAACACACTCGAATTATCTTTAGGCATATTTATTTAACAGTTAACAATAAAGTGCGGACCGATGTGCCGCTGTCTCATCAGCATGGCTCACACACAACAACAACTAGCGCTCACTGGGAGCGTGGTGACGTCACGTCTTGTACGCACCGTAACGCTTTCACAATACAGCAGTACAGTATATCAGTCTACCGTAATACAGGGACTCCACCACCTGTGGCCTGAAGGCTCTGGCGATGGGCAGATATGTCTTCATATCTGACCACTTCTTTTTCAACTCCGCTGCGGTGCGGTTCTCCGACCCTACCGTGTTTACTGCCTGTGCCTCTAACTCCGTCAGCAGAACCTCCAATTCACACTCCGTAAAATTTCTTTTTTTCCTGGCTTTTGCCATTTTCCTAAAGACAGCACTATCTAGGCCTATTTATACTAATTAGCATATTCAGATCGGTGTAATTGAGGGAGGGGACAGGGTGGAGCGTTGTGCTCGTGCATGTGCGCTCAATTTCACGTTGATTGCGATGTACAAAGACAATGTGCGTGGGATTCTGCGTACGCACGTTTTGATACATCTGAATATTTTTGTGCGTACAGAACGTTCACTCTTTCAGTGTACGCCACATTCTAGTAGGAAATCCACACAAGTCTTAGTACATGAGGCCCCTGCTCTATTTGAAAAGTGTCCTGAGATAACTTCTGTTATGAATTGGCGCTATACAAATAAAATTGAATTGAATTGAATAGATTAACACAGACACTAAAGTTGAACTGCACAGACTGCCACTTTGTAGGCTGCAATTATTGATTAAGTATTAAAAATTGCTGATCAATTTCCTCCTCACATTTAAGAATCTGCAGTGAGGAAACACTTTAATTTTTGCCTGATAAATGACATAAACTATTAATCAACTACTATTGTTTCAACTCTAGTTGGCCTTAAATGATAAATTATAATAGAAAAAACACTTCATTTGTTATCTTTCACTGATCAGTGTCATAGCCCACAAACACACAGTGGACATCTCTTTTAAAAAGCACACAGGTTTTATTGCATATCAATTTCATGTATAAATTCTTCATAGCATTGGAAAGATTACATTTGGTATACATTGCTATTCTACAGAATTAACATCAGAGTCATATCTTTTCAATGAAATTTCTCTAAAGTACATCTTCAATAATCACAAGCATCAAAAGAACTGCAATTTCAGAATTGTTCAATATTATTCTACAATCCTTTATTGTTTTTCATTATGTCTTGTCCCACAAGTCTTTTCTATGTCTTTCAGAGCCACCTGTAAGGCAGTCAAAAACTTGAAGTCAAACCTACTAACCTAACCACATGTACAATAAGTGCATCTACGGATTTATTTTTTCTTTTCTTTTTTTTCTCATTTTTTGATTTGATACACATTTCACAAATGGACATCATTATGACTGCTAAACACGTCATGCACAATATCTTTTTTTTTTGTTTGTTTTCAATAAACATAACAGAGGCGATATACAACTCAGATTCAAACAAAACAAGCACCATCCATTTAAACCCATATTTTTCAATGATTTTTTTTCTTCAGACAAATGCATCATTGTTTTTTATTCTTTAAAATACTATACAGTTAAAAAGAAACAATATGTATATTTTTACTTTCTCCTGTAACAGTGGGGGAAAACAGCAACCATGTTCTATTATGCTGAAAATTTCAGCGACCATCTGCCAGAATACTTTCTGAAGTTGGCAAAATGGAATACTTCAATGCCTTCAATTCCTTTGCTTTACACAGCGCGTACTTATTACAGTAGTCCATGACATGAATTACTACATATAGTCAACCAAAAAACTTAGCAACCCAAGTCTTTACATTTTATAACCACGAGTTGGAAAACAATGTGTTTACCATGAATGAAATCTCATTCAGTAAAAAAAAGACTTCTGTCTTTAGAAAAATGAGATGATGCATCAGTCCTAGCATCACACTACCACCTGCTGCGGTGAAAAAAAATTACAGTGCTTTGTTTCAGATTTTTCATCTCTCCATGTCGAGCACGAGTTGCTCATCTACTAAAAGTGAAACTAGTCTGAAAATGTATCCGTTCTAAGTTCTAGAGACCTAAGCCTGATCAATTTATGGCTTGGACCCATATGGTTTAAGTACTAGTTTGTAAAATACAGCATCAGGCCTAGTTCTGAAAGTCCCAGTACGCAGGGAGGATCAAGGCAACAATGATCAACAATGCTCACCCCCCCTGCCCCCTGCAGCTATCTACAGTTATCTACAGTAAATGACTCATGCCCTCCATGGCACAGCTACCTTGTAGACCACATGGAATGAGTTTTCAGTATGCTCTTACAAGAAGATCATAAAGTTAAACTCATGATCAAGTGTTTCTGTTTTCCCCATCCAGAATCAAGTAGACATTTTTTATAAGTGTTGGAAGGACCGACCAGCAGAAATATGATGTCTGTTTAACACTATCTGTGGTTTAGTTTACTCTCTTTTTTTGGTTTTCACAAGTCTTTGCCTTCCTTCTTGCATGAAGGAAACCAGGAAACCAGATGTTCATGCAGATGTGACTGTGTGTTTTAGACTTTTGGACCATGTAATAGAGGACAACTACTTTTAAAAATAATAGTCATTGGTTACACTACATGTATCAAATGAAAAACAGGGGATAAAGGGAGCTTGATGTGGTAGAAACTAGTCAGATTCAATAGTGTGACAACATAATGCCCTTTTCTGACATTCAGAGTGAAAGTTGTCCCCCACTCCCATAACACTTAAGCCAATTTGAACAAGACACATTCAGCATACTGGGTAAAATGGTTGAACAGAAACACGGGGGGAAAAAACCCAACTAAACACTGCAGGACATTACAATGCCAAATAGGACCTAAAACTAACTACAGCTATCTTTCACTATAAATTAAAACAATTAATTTCATGGGTTCTTTCCATTTTGGCACACTAACGCATCAAAACCATTGATTCAAAATCTTCCTCACGCTCTGATAGGCGTTCATTCCTTCAGCAACAAAAAAAGAGGGATAAAATGACTTTTCTTCATTTTCACTCCTCCAGTCATGACAACCAAAAATAAATACATACACACACTTCTGAAATCAAATTTATAAGAGCGTAATAAGAAAAGAACTATGACAGCAAAGGCAAGCCCCTTGGAAATGAAATGATTGTCAGAGAACAAAACATTTTCTATGGGTTATTTGGCACATACCACTCTTGCTATGAACATCTAGGTTATTTTGTACATCATATGACAATATCATACAAGTTTGGTCCTTCTCTAAAATAATTATATTAACAATTTAGCACTGTGGTGCCTACAAAGAAACAATACTGTGGTATCTAAGAGGAAAGAAAGTAAATAAAATAAACAAATGACGATGAAATAAACAAGCAGAGAAAGACTTTCCTCATTTTTTGAGTATGATTTAAATTCATTTTCAGCATGATCAAATTGGGTAACCAATTATAATGGCTAGTGTCCCAGATAGCTCATTAAAATCACCAGTTGCTGTGCACATTTGAACATCATTCTCCATGTAATCATTCAAAAATCAACAGTCTACTGGAACTGTCATTTCCTCAAGTAACATTTAGTGTGGTGCTATTGTTGATTCTGCAGTTATAACTGAAACAAGATCAGTAAATGAGTCACCCATGATTGATGGGGGAAACCTGGAGACAATAGTGCACGCGCCCACTATGTTCCTTGTGAAACAGCACCACCTTGTGGACATGCAGTGCTAATGCAGTGCTGGTGCTGCAGTGCTTGTAGTAGGCGGTGTACACAGACTTTAGAGACATATTAGTCATTAAGTGTCTTTATGAGAGCCTTGTGTAGGGTCTCTGTGGTGCTGGGGTGAGCCTTGTGGACTTGGGGAGGATCAGAGTAATGCAGAGTTTTAATGCTGTTGAGAAGCATTCATCATGTCCTTCACATCAACAGGAGCTTAGCAGTGCTTCTCTTTGACAGAGTCTTGCGAAACGCCTCACCTAGGGACAATCTCTCCCTCTTCTCTCTCTCTCTCTCTCTCTCACACACACACACACACACACACACACACACACACACACACACACACACGCACACAAATGAACACACATATCCACACAAACGTATTCTTTCTATCTTGAATGTATGTGACACTGAAATCGTTCTCCGGCCAGTCTTCTCACTACTCATGTCCACTCAGTCTCTCTTTCTATTTATCCTCTTCCTCCCACTTCCTCTCTTACGCTCTCTCGCTCTCTCTCACTCTCTCTCTCTCTCTCTCTCTTTCGTCTAGATGTGGTTGAGCGGGTGAAAGCTGCTCGTCTCAGACGGTCCACCTCCCATGCTCAGCCAAGCGTCCAGAGAGTTCTGGGAGGGCGCGTGCAAAGGGTTGTTCTCAGAGAGAGACAGCATCATTGCATAAGCCTGCGGGAGAAGACAGGTGATGTTTAAAAAAAAAAAAAGGAAACTGCATGATTTATAATATTTAGTAACATTTCTGTCCAATGACTTGCCAAGAAATTAATGGACAATTTTGGTTTATTAGGCTTTATTTCTGAATCTTTGAAAATCATTTCTATTGGTTATAACAAGATTGCCTGATTGCTTGTGGTCTCTGTAGCAATGTTGCCATGTTCCCAGATCTCAAGTTGTAATAGTCAAGAAATGACTACCCTTTAACTTTTTGACGTACTTTGTAATGACAAAGTTAAAACATAATACTTTGTGATTATGTTTAATCAGACTGTTTTAAGTCTAAGTCTTTAAGACTAGAGATAAGAAATATAAGAGCAGTTTAAAGATAAAAGGTTAGTAGGTTAGGTGAGACGAAAAGACGTGAGGGGGCAGACAAGAGCCACTTGTCAAAACAATCTTTTCTTATATCAAATGCCTGAACATGTGAAACGATCCCACTCAAGCCTTCATCTCTTAATCCTCGGGACACATTTTGTGCTTCCTCCTGTCTTATGAGAGTCTTTCCTGTCCCTGCCTCTTTAAGTGGACATCCAAATGCCAGTCACATACCTGGGTTTTAGCCTGCCTGTACAATGTCTCTTTCAAAGCCTCCGACTCTAGTGAAGTGTTAAATATGTCTTTAACGTCAAAGGGTTGCTCGCCACTGGCTGCTTTACGTAACCCCTCCAGGCTCTTGGGAAAGCTGGGCAGACCCTCCAGGTCCAAGAGAGAGCCCTCCTCCTCTATACACCTGCACACCGAGGGATGGATTGCAGAAATAGGGCAGTGTGGATGGGTGGTGGTTGGTGGACAGATGAATGGGTAAATGGATGGAAAGATAGACGTAGGGAAGGGATAGATGGAGAGTTAATGTGATGGAGGGGGGAGGGAAAATTAAAGAACAAAGTTTTGTGAACATGAAGA